CTCAACAAATGCTTATCCAATGTGCTGAAAACATTATATGTATGCTACACAGGTGTGGTACAGAGAAAAGGGCGCTGGATTTGGAATCAGTGGATGCAAGTTCAAATCCTAGCTCTGCCACTTGATACCTATGTGGCTTTGGACAGTCATTTAACCCCTGTGAGCTTCAATTTCCATATCTGTAAAATTAGAATTAGATAACCTATAGAGTTTCTTCTAGTTTTAAATCTATGATCCTGCAATATGTTTATTGATGATATTTTAAAAATTAAAATGCATTTAAGATTATTTTGGTAACAATAATAATAAATTAATTCACTTCATAGAGTTAGCATAGTTAAGATGAAGACAGACTTTTTTTTTTTTAAATAGTCTTCTCTCTCTGTATTTTCATCAAGAATGCCCTCCACAATCCTGGGCAAGTCCTTTAATCTTTGTATGCCTCTGGTAACTCCCTAAGAACTATTAAGTGGAATCAGTCTGGTACAATGGAAGGAGCCCTAGGTTCAAATACTGCCTCTGATATTTACTATGTGAACTTAGACAAGTCCCTTCCCCTACCTCGACCTCAATTTCTAAAGTGAGAAGGTTAGAGTAGATGGCTTTTGAGGTCCTTTCCAGCTCTAAATCTGTGAGTCTATGATAGACTATTGAAATCTGCTTTGGTGCAAGAAGGTTCAACTCTAGGAGTTTCCCTGCTTAAGGAAACAACAGGTCCTTTGAGTCCTGGCATATTTGCCCTACTCAGGCTTGTGCAAGCCAGCCAGATGGGAAAGAGAAGGGTAGCCTATGTTTGTTGTAATTTGACTACTTAGAGGTAGCCTGCCATAGTTGCTGGATTCAGGAAAACTCAGGTTCATTTCCTGCCTAAGGAACTCATTTACTCTGTGACCCTGGCAAGTCATTTAATCTTTATGGACTTCAGGCAACTCCTTAGAACTTATCTACTAAGTCAGAGCTGAGCGTACCTGGGGAGCAGCCCACACCAGCAGTTCCCTCCACTGGTGAAATCTCATATCCTTCACATATTCGTGAATAATTATTTATGATACTAAAAGATACGCATTTATTTAGTGCTAGGCATACAAATAAGAAAAAGAAAGACAATCCCTGCCCTCAAGCAGTTTATAATCTAAGGAGAGAAGATAACATACAAAAGGTGTGGGGGGAGAGATACCGGAGTATACCTGGCAGGGTGGCAATTGTTAGCTTTGTTTTGTTGTAATAACTCATATATAGAATGCTCGAATTTGCAAAGAGTCCTCATCACAACTCTGTGACATAGGTAGTTGTAAGACTGAATCATGGGAGTCATCTCTTCTAAGCCCTTCATTTTATACATGAGAATACTAAAAACTGAACTGCTTTGCCCAAAGCAAAGAATAAGTATCAGAGCCAGAACTAAAACCCAAGTCCTTGGACTTCAAATCCAAGTCTCTTCCTACTGTACAATGTTGCTATTTTTATGCCCATTTTGCAGATGAGGAAAGTGAGAGTTACCAGGATTATGTAATTTGTCATCAATTAGTTGACATAGCTGGTCATCATCAGATTTTGTTTATTGTTGAGAGTTTCTCAGTCCTGTCCAACTTTTCATGATCCCATTTGGGATTTTCTCGGCAAAGATACTGGAGTAGTTTGCCATATCCTTCCCCAGCTCATTTTATAGATTAAAGAATTGAGACAAACAAGGTTATGTGACTTGCCCAGCTAGTAAATGTCTGAGGCCAGATTTGAACTCTTCAAGGTGAGTCTTCCTGACTCCAGGCCCAGCGTTCTATCCACTGTACCACCTAGTTCAAAATCAAACCCAGTTCCCTTTGACTCAAGTCTTGCACACTTTCTGTTATATCATATTTTCTCTCTATAATAATTTTCCAATTGCATAGGGCTTTAATTTATAAAATTCTTTGTCCTCAGTAGCCATGAACATATGTAAAGCAAATATTTTCATTTCTTTTTTTTTTTTAATAAATAAAATGAGCTTTTCCAGAGGGAGAGAGTAACCTGTTCAAGGTCATACTAATAATAAGTGCCAGAGAGAACATTAAAACCCAGGTCTCTCCAAGGCATGTGCTTTTTCCAAACCCAGCATAATTTCATAGCTATAGATTTCACTTTGACCCCATCCAGCTACCCCTAAAATGCATTCATTCCATGGTTTAAATGCAGGAACTCTAAAAGGCTGTAGATGGGTTGATGTAAAACCATCATACTACTAAGAAAATTAATCAAATTAAATGCCTTACCTGTAGTAGATTGAGAGGCAGACTCTTCCTGTGAGAGGCAGAAGACCAACTCACTTACTACTGGCTATTTAGGGATGCCAGACAAATGCCTGGCCTTATGAAACAGAGAACTGGCTGATTGAGGAAAGGAAATGAAGGGTGTGACTTGTCTTTGCCAGTTAAGTGGAATTCAATTCTATGATATTTTACAGGGAAACAAAAGGGAGGAATTTGCCTGGCTCCTCAGTTCTTTGTATGGAATTGTTTATTTCTCTTTAAATACAGAAAATTGGATTAATCTTAAACTTAGACCATAAGCACTGATGCACATGTGTGAGAAATAGGTGTGACGAAGGTTTAACTCACTACACCTGTTCTGAAAGTACTTTACTCTTTGTAGCCACCTCATATGGGACCCTTTGCTGTTGTGTGTCCTCGGTTCTTGAAGAGGACCAAGGACATCACTAGCGATGGAGCATGAGGCCTTGACTTGCCCATAATTTGGATTTCAGAGAGGTAGAGCTAGGCAAAGTGGTTAGCCTCACTCTTTTCCAGAGTCATTAGGGTCCAGTGTAAGACAAACATCAAGATGATGGCCCAAGATGCAGTGGGCTACCTTGACCTTTCTAATCCCAGACCTCAGTTTGTCTGAGGCAACATCCTTTCTTTTTTTTTTTTTTGGTGAGGCGATAGGGGTTAAGTGACTTGCCCAGGGTCACACAGCTAGTAAGGGTTAGGTGTCTAAGGCTGGATTTGAACTCGGGTCCTCCTGCCTCCAAAGCCAGAGCTCTATTCATTGTGCCACCTAGCTGCCCCTGGCAACATCCTTTCAATGACAATCAGGGAAGACAACATATACTCAAACAAGTATATACAGAACAAATATAAGATTATTTTGAGGGACAGGCATTAGCAGCTGGAAAAATCAGCAAAGTCCTCATGCAGGAGGTGACATTTGGGATGCTCTTTGAAAGAGAATTAGGTTTTCTAAGAGGTCAAGTTCAGAGGAGTGCATTCCAGGCATGTAGCAACAGCCTGAGCAGCGAAATGGAGATAAGGGATAGAATATTGTGTGTGAGGAACTGCAAGGAAGCCACTTTGGCCAGACTACAGAGCATAATAAGCCTGGAAAGGTAGGGTGGAGCCAGGCTGTGAAGGGCTTTAAATGACAGAGCAAGTTATATTTGGTTCTAAGATAACAGGAAGCCTCTGGAGTTTATTGATCAGGAGACTGGCAAGCGCTTTAGGAATCTCACTTTGGCAATTATATAGAGGAAAAGGGAGACACTTAAGACAGAGAGACCACCTCAGCTGATCTTCATACCAACCCTGTGAGGTAGGTAGGGAATGCATTATTTGTAACCATTTGATAAATGAGGAAACTCAGTTTCAGAAAGAATAAGTGTCATATGGTTATTATTATTAGTAGTAGTAGTAGCAACCACAACATTAGCTAACATTTCTATAGTGTCTTAAGGTGAACAAAACAATTCTTCGCAAGAACTCCATTTAGTACATATTCCAAGTATTAACTTGTTAGTTTCTTAGGCAACTCTTGAAGACTTTTAGGGCCCAGGATACTCTGAGGCCACTACTAGGATCAGGGGGAGGAAGTACCACCTGTTAGCTTCCTATTTTAGTAATTATTCTTGATAATTAGGTACTAAATTTGTTTCTACTCTGCTGGAGTGTAAGGGCTATCAGCACCCTACAAATTTCACACCCTGAGGCAAATTTCCATTGCCTCATCCTAGTTACATCTTGGCTCTCTTCATCCTTCCTCCCAGCGACATTAGTAATAGCTCATATTTAAAGAGTATTTTATGGCTTATGAAACACTGTCCTCACAGTAGCCTTCTGAGGTACCTAGTGCAAATAGTATAATGGAAGAAGAAATTGAAACTCAAGAGAAATAAAGAGACTGCTCAAAATCCCATGGGTGGAGGGGTAGCTAGGTGGTGCAGTGGATAAAGCTCTGGCCCAGGAGTCAGGAGGACCAGAGTTCAAATTTGGCCTCAGACACTTGATACCTTCTAGCTGTGTGACATTGGGTAAGTCACTTAACCCCAATTGTCTCACCAAAAAAAAAAACATCCCATGATTGGGAGGTAACATAACCTGCTTCCCTATTTAGTACTATCTCCAACAACACCATACCTCCCCAAACCGTTTTTAATCCCAACACCTGAGAAAGGCCTAAAACCTGGATTGGCCAATCAGAAAAGACATTTTGGACCACTCTGGGCTTAATCTACCATAATGCTTCGCATACTCTGCTCTCTGAGTGAACTAAAAATGCCTCTTCCTGTGTCAGCAACTACAAGACCAGATGAAGCTGACTAGCATTCTTCCCATTTGTTATTACTAAGGACAGAACTCCTGGGACCAGATACTGTCTTGAATAGCAGGACTTTTCTTATCTTGGTATCCTATGGACATATACTATGCAGGGGAAACACAGATATCCTGGGACTGTAATTTCAATTGACACTTTGTTACTTCTCTTGTCTTATTGTATTTACAACCTATTCAACTAGGAAACTGTCCTTCTCATGCTATTATTAAAAACATATGGAAGCTATATATATATATATATATATATATATATATATATTTATATATATATTTTTTGAGTGACACAGACATGCTGAGTTGGGATTGCTCTAAGAATATAAATTATCTACTTCAAATTAAGTGAGTCTTAATTAAAACTCTGACTCCATGTACATGTCACTAACTTAAGGGAACAAAGAGTATGAATTTATTTATCACCTAGTTTGTTGCTTCTTTAACCCAACTTTCAGGTCAACATTCCTTATTCACCCAGTTCTGGGTAAATAATGGTGCTAGTGCTTTCCTTCACATTTACCCAACATTTCTCAGGAGCTGCATCTACAAATTCATGGGCAGGATTCTGGGCCAAGACATTCTTTCATCTCTGTTACCTTAACATAATAGGAAGAAGATATATTAAGCTAGAATGACTCAAGGTGAATCATAACCTTCAAACACAAAATATAAAGACATACTGATAAAAGATAGATCTGGCCACATTTTTCTATGTGTCAACATCTAGAAGCTTGGCTTCTGGAAGGGAAAAAAATCCTTTTAGAAAAATAGATATATTAGCACACAAGGGCCATATTTCTTATTTGAGGACAGGAAGCTCTCAGTGATACACAAAAGAAAGGTTCTATGGCTGGGGCTCCCAGCCTTTTTGAGTATGAGGACCCTTTTTAAATGTCAGAAAAATTATTGAACCCCACCCCACATCATGTAAGTTATATTACTTAAATCTGTTGAAGAAGAAAGTACATAATGAAAAAAGGCAGTAGGAATTCTGTAAAGTTTTTAGAAGAATATGCATTTCATTCATCACAACAGGAGCTACACACATTTGAAAAATCATAATATGCAAGGCATATTATTTATTCATTCTATAAAGCTATGCCTGCTTAATGAGATTAATCCTTTTCAATAACTGCAGCTTCCTCACGAGGCCTTAGTTCACAGTTTAGGAATCTCCTTTCTATAAGAGAATAAGCATCTGATAGCAATTTGAACCTGATAACAGATTTTTAGATTTGCTTTGAACCTTTGAAATTGAGAGTACTTTAATAACTGAGTTTCTGCAAGGTCTTCCCTTCTGTAAGCCCTATTCCCTAGTACTATTCCAACACTGAGCTCTCTCTCCTCTCTCAATTCAGTCTTCCAGCACTTACCTGCAGCTATGTAATCTTAAGCGTAATTATATGATATCATATCAATATAAGCATGCATTTAATTATAGATTGTCCTATATTCTTTTCTAATTAATTCTTGTTCACTGATCTTTCCTTCCCAATCAGAATATTAATTCCTTTGGGACAAGAACAATGTCTACTACTTCTTTCATATTGCTTACAAGTGCTAGCACAGTGGTTGGCCCATAGTAAACTCTCAGTGATGTTGTATGGTCTGAACACATTGAGAGAAGAAAGCACCATATTTTGCTCCCACTCCCAAGCAATGCTTTGGAAGCAAATGTTAACCAAGAAACTAAGGGAGCTCAATGTAGCCCATGAGCTATGAGTAATCAGTTATGAAGTCATTTCAGCACACAGAAGTGGTGTTTAGCTAATATATTTAAAGTGAAGGGAGGGTAGCTGCTATCACTAGTGAATATAAGACTGGCCTCAACTCTGTTGCCTTAAGTTAAAATTGTTGACACTTAGATGTATGAGGGAGAAGAACAGCAGCATTTTTGTGGGTCTACTGAAGACTTTTCTTGATCATTATTTTTTTTTCAATGTGTGTTCTGATCCAACCTGCCTGCTGGGGTGGTAAATCTGGGAGAAGGTAATTGTACTGTTTCTTCTCCTTCCCTTCCCCAGATAATCCCATCTATTGTGACTTCACTTGTACTCACCCAAGAGCAGTAGTCAGTTGATTTAAAGTCATAAGATTATGATGGTATAGTAATTCAGTTAAGGTCTAGGCTGAATATTTGTAAAGAAGATTGATCTGAGAGTACACCCTATTTTTCTAGGTGTCTGTAGGAGCTTCTGACTTCAAAACATGATCCACAATTTTAGAATCAAAGTGGCCCCCGATATCTATGCTTTTGGTTTCTGTATCATCTAGTTACCTGTCGGAAGCCAGGAGCCTGGACAAAATGGCCTCTTGAGATCCTTTCTGGTTCTAAAAGCAATGACATCTATGGCAAGGTTGCCAAATTAATTCTATGCAGAAAATGCAACATCAACATTGGCTTCCTTGGGTTTTAATAATATGCTGAAAGTTGTTTTACCTTTAACTTAAGGCAAGACAAAGCGATATTCTCAAGCAACTAAGTAACAACTTGCCTATAGGAAAACCTTACTCATTTAAAAGTTTTGGTATGGATCTCTAACTAAATCCTTGTAAATCCAGATGTGGGAATTCCCTCTACTAATGCAGATTAACACTTCTGTTCCACCTGTAGTTTATAGTCTTAGAGAATTACATAGGTACTGAGAAGTTAATACAAATAAACAAATGAATGAAAAGCATTTCTTAAGTGCTTACTGTGCACCAAACACTCTGCTAAGTTCTGGGTATGTAAATATAAAAGCAAAGACAGTCCCTTCCCTTAAGCAACTTACATTTCAATGTGGGCCTTTAGTGAAGGGGAACAACATATATAGAAAAGTGGTAGCTAAGTTGGGGCATTTTGGTCCAGAAAGTTATGAGGATGCTGAGTTGGGCCCTTGGGGAGTGGATGAGCACACCACATCCAGGACAAATGGTTGTTGCGTCCATGGTTATATAGCTAATAAATGTCAGAAGTAGAACCTGAGTATTCCTGACTCCAAGGTTATCCTTCCTCCAAGAAAAATGTAAGCAACCCTAATTGCCCTTGGAATGTTTAACCTTTGTCAGCTGGCAACCACAGCCCACCTAGTAGGGCAGAATTCTTAAATTCTTAAGTAACTTAAGTTCTTAAGTAATGATAGATATTTAGAGTTTGAAGGAGCTTCATCCAGCCCAGACTCCTCATTGGATAGAAGAGGAAACTGAAGCCTAGAGTGGTGGAGGGAGTGACTTGCTCAAGATCATTGTTAGTTAATTAGTGGAAGAAGCTGAACTAGAACCCAACTTCCAAACCATTATTCTTTTGACTATACTACACCACCACTCCTTTAAATTATAAGTTGTTCAGTCTACTGGCAGATAGTACAGAAAATTGGTACAATTTATTTTTAAAAACTGAACTCTCTTCAGAGTGTGGGATAATTTCATACATTTTTACTGCAATGGATACTTAAAGAAATCCTTTTTGCTTTATGTTCTAGAGCAGAGGTTCCCAAACTGACTTGGCCTACCACCCCTTTTCAAAAAAAAAATAATTATTCAGTGTCCCCTTAGAAATCTACTTCCTTTAACCTTTTAATGGATTTTTAAAAATTTGCATCATTTCAAAAAAGATATATATTTTTTAAAATGACGTCTTAAATTTCATAATTTATTGTAAATTTGTGGTTTTTTCCTACAGTGAAATTTTGATGACATTGGGTGATATAACTGTATAGTATTGAATGGAATGCTGAAATAGTGAAGCCCCCTCAGTGTAGGATCCCGCCTTTTTTTCTCAGAAACTGCCTTACTGAGAAAGTAGAATGTCAGGAGATCAGGTGACAGAGCCACATTCTGTTCACCTGGATTCTATCCCTCCTCAGGCCCCCTCCCTAGTTGTTGAAGCAAACCATTCCCTGTTTCACGCCCTTTTTGTCCTTGGTGCTGGGGAGAAGTTTCTGGGCCTAGACTGTGAGCTCCAAAGCCCAGCCAATGGGAAGAAGAGCCAGTGTGTGTGTGTGTGTGTGTGTGTGTGTGTGTGTGTGTGTGTGTGTGTGTGGAGGGGGCGTTTCCCGAGTTAAGGTCTATGTAAACTTGCTCTGAGATATACACCCACACACTCCCTTGCTGGTACCATCTTAAGAAATATGGGGTATGTCCTTTCTCATGAGAAAGCAATAAAACTCCTTTTTGCCTTTCTTAAGAAAAGTCTCTAACTGATTATTACAAGGGGGTTCATAAACACCTCACACAGTTTCATATTATAAACAAGTCATTACACTCATATATTCCTGCCAGTACATGCTGAACTTCCCAACAATGTACTACATGCTCACCTGCCAACACTTTATGTTAAGATATATAGGCAGATTTGACCACTGATAGCTTATAACTTGGATTTTGTGTGTTTATTTGGAAAATAATGTAATCACTACCACCTTAACTCTATTATACAACAGATAAAACATGTATGAATGGTTTTTCAAAATTTTCTTCTCTTCTTTTCTTATGCTTCCACTGCCCCCTCATTTTTATTCAATGCCCCCCAATTGCACTTGAGGCTACTACCACCCCCTCCTGGATCATTCCAGTATCCCCCAGGGGTTGGTATTGCCCTCTTTGGGAATCTATGCTAGACTTTAAATGCTACAGTCATTAGGATGCAGTGATATCTCTCATTTTTAGAACCATAGATTTTAATCTGGAAGGTACCTTAAATATTAAATAGGTCATCTCATTCAACCCTCTCATTTTATAAATGAACCTGAGTCCCAGAAACAGAGTGATTTGTCCAAGGTAACAGAAATAGCCCACGGTGGCCAGGATTTGAACCCAGTCTTCTTGCTCCAAATCCAGAACTCTTTCCACTCTACCATATTTTACATGGTATTTTATAAGTAGGGACAAAAGAAGATCTGACTCCATTATTGCTGAGCAAGGTGAGTGTGGTTGAGGGAAATCTATCTGGAAGCACTGATAATGCTACTAATGATCAGGTCGCAGAACAAAAGGGCTATCAGGAGAACACATCAGAGTGTAGCCAGTCATGTATACATGAGGAAAGAACTGGATACACAAGGACATCCTGAAAATATACACAAAAGAAAAGCTATTGCTATTCCCACAGTGTGAATTTACTCTTGAATTACTCAGTCTTGAGTTAGTTAGCAGAGTTAGAGATAAAACCATGCATGATTTACAATCAAAACGGAAAATTTGAACCTAGACTCAGACATTGTTCTTTGGTTACAACATCAGATGTAATCATCTGATTTCTTTATGTCTGGGCAATTTTATTTGGTCACTGGAAATCAAATAATAATGGCCTGGTACATTATCTAAAAGGGGGAATGCAGCAACCTTAGCTCCATTTTCCTGTAGAATCAAAGGTTGGTTTGGGCGTGCTATAGTTACCAATATGATGTCATGAAAAGACTGAAAGGTTTGGAGTGAGAGATCTGGGTTTGAGTCCTATCTGCTCTACTTAGGACCTGGGTGACCTTGGGCAAGTTAATATCTTTGAGACTCTTTTCCTCATTTGTAAAATGAAGG